CATGAAATGCCAAGGCTGCAGCTGGTTGTGTGTAGGGTCTCCTGACCGGTAGCTTGCTTTGGGTTCAGGCTACAAGGCTTCGGGTTTGAGATGTTTTGTGCATGGCTAGACCATGAGTAGAAAGCCCTTCCTTATACCGTCATTAGTGCGTAGGGGGCTCTTCGATGGACGTTGAAGTAGGAGCTGTGGGTGCTGGTTTTTGAGCTCTTCGGCCTGATTGGCACATGCAATGCCTAGATGTGATGGACCAACCCCGCCGCAAAAAAAATATGTGATAGGGCCTTGAAACTCACCCTCTGCGACATGGACAATCGTTGAGTCCATGGCGAAACACGCAACTACCCGACATCACCACAGGGGGCTTTAAGCTGAGGGAGCAAACGAATCTGTGGGATGTTCGGGCCATAGGGCCGGGTCTTGAATCGAATTCACCTTGACTCAAGCTTTCATGNNGTTTTGGGTTTAGGGTGTATAGGGTTGATGGTCCTATCCTAAGGCCCCCCACAAATCATTAGGTAGAGAACCCTGGCCATCTGAACTCTTCCCCGCCTCTTCCAACTTTCGGTCGCATTCGGCTTGAACGTCCTCGTCAGGTGCCAGTTAAGTCAGACACTAAGCATCGGCTCCTGACAATTTCGACCTCCTGCGGCCTAGGTGTTGTCTAGCTAGGGAAGCCCCACCCCCATTCTGGTCTCCAGGTTGGTCACAGCCTCATTCCCTTGCTTCCGGCCCGAAAAAAGCCGGGATCCTGACAAGCAGCTGAATCCGACTACAAAACACGCGCCCTCCCNNCCCCCCCCCCCCCCCCCCCACGCCCCGCAAACCCTGAACCAAAAGCTTGCCCTTCACCCGGCCTCCAGCAGAGAAGACAGCTGCGCCTTGTCGGCCTCGAGTCCTCGCAGTTACGGGTTTGGGGTTGTTTTTGCCTCAAGCTAGGAGAGGGATATAACGGTTTAACCTTGTGTTAATGTTAAGGGCTTATTGGCTCCCGCAGGGCAAAGCTCAGAGAGGGCAAACTTCGCAGATCTGAAGATTATACGATATCACATTTCGTCTCTCGATGTGCAGACGAACTACGTGATCTATCTAAAGTTGCTCCGCCACAACATCACACAAGTAGTGCTCCAGCCAATCATCCAGTTGACCAAAAGAGCCGCTAAGGAGGAGCAAAACTCTGTGAACATAGTCACAGGGGTTTCAAGCCTAGAGTCCCAGGTTTGAGGTTCAGTGCTCGATTTAGGGGGCACCCGAAGTTTCGCAGGAGACGTCGATGCAGCATTACACAGCTTAGACCCTGCTCTACTCCAAAGCATTCGAGAATTCTGACTGCCAAAGCGCCCGTAATGCTTGAGTGCGCTTGAAGCCAGGGAACTCTCCACGTCGGCAGCCGATGAGGTCGTTTTCTGGTCCAGCAGCTCCTAGCACGGTTTCAACTCTCACTCTCGCACAAGGCAGGCANNCTTAGGATTTCGACTCACGCACTCGCACTGGGCAGGCACGGCTTCACGGCAATAGGCCCACCAGTGCTGTGACATGCATCACCATACTGAGTCTTATAAAGAGCGACAGAAAACGATTAAGGTCATGTTGGCGTAAAAGCGGGGACAGTAACGGCCCGGATCATGAAGTCAGGAAGTTCGGGGATGCCACCGGAGGCAGCACGAGTCAGATGGAGGGAAACACGGAAGAAGCGAGGCCTGGAGCATGGACTTCTCCCTTTGAAGTGCGGCTCCAGCTGCCTCTGCTCGGTCGCGCGCCTCCTGGAAAAGGGGGGCCGGTTGTCGCCGTGGGGTTTCTTCATCCCAAGCTGACACTACTAGGGTTTAGACATGATGCTTTAGGGTTCAGGTTAGCGTTTTGGGCTTAGGGCTGAGGGCTTTAGAGTTTTAGCTCTTGGCTGCAGAATGAGAGATTTGTATAGTGCCCCCCACGTCAGGCAGCCCCTAGTAGCCGTGCGTAACTTTGGCAGTATGTTGCAGTCGGTGGCACTCGCCGTCATGGCAGAAGCAGCGATTGATTAACATGTGATTGGCATCCTCATCGACGGGCTATCATAGGCAACATGGACCTGGTAAACCAATAGCCAGATAAACCGTAGTGAACACGAGGTGTAAGAATAAGACTTTAAGAAGGGACAAAGAGCAGCTGGCTGCTACTCATTACTATCACATTACTTATCACAATGTGACCGCAGGAGGGCATCAGAGTCTTGAATGCCCACACCCCCAACCTGGCTGTCGCCCAGTTATCCTGATCAAAATCGAACAGAACTCCTCAAACCCCCATTTCAGTGCGATGTGCTGAGGACTCCATTGGCCCGTCGCCGCCTGGAGCATCGACTTCTCATTTTGAAGTATGGCTCGGTCGGCTTCTGCTTGCTCACGCGCCGCCTGACACAAGTGACACCAAGCAGGTCGGGTGTACCGGGGTTCATGCGCACACTTAAGGAAGCAGCTTTTTTAAGCAACGGCAGTCAAGTCCCCAATGCTTCTTGCCTGAAGCTGCCTTTCCTGATCGCCAAGCTGGGCTTGCGCAGACTCTTGGCTCTGGCTGGCCTCTGTTGGAACTGGAGTTCTGAGCTTCTGGGCTTTGGGGCTGTCGGGCTTGGGGCTTTGAAGCTGCCAAAGCTGGGGCTCTGGTGGGTTTCAAGGGGCTCTCGACCCCTGAACTCTCCGCGCTCGAAACCCTGAATCCTCTGACTTCAGAGCTCACAGTTGGATAGCGCCTGATGTTCCAAGGAGTTCCGAAAAATTGTGGGCTTCGGGAAGCTCCGACAGAAGACACGACTTCAAGCCGGTCATGAAAGCAGATTCCTCGGACCCATAATGACCAAGTCACCAAAGGTCCGAACGCAAGCTCGAACCCTTAGCCTTAGCCCTCCGAGCTTGAGGTCTGGAGCTCAAAACCTCGATCATTACTCGAACTGTTATCCTTGACAAAACCTCGGATAGCGCTTGGGAAATTGAACCTCTGCTTGCTCGTTCGCCTACAGACTTCAAAGTTCCAAAACGTCTGTGACCCATACAACAACCCTTTATAGCAACCTTGACATGCGCCTTTCTAGGAGCCCCCAATCGGCCTCTCTCCGCAGGAAGGCAATCTGCGCATCTTTTGCAGCCAGCACTTCGTTGGACCTCTCCCGTCCTGCACTACATCAAGCCCCCCTAATCGTCCCCTTAGGGCCCCAGTATATTACGATGGTAGCCTCAGTTCGAATCTTCAGACACCTACATTGAACCCTGAAACCCAGACTTAAGTCTTAACTTAAGTCAAATCCCCCTCCCCTGTCGGTCGGACGCTCCAGGACCGTATGGGGCTTCCACTAAGCATCTTGCATCCGAAGCCTGTTGCGCTCGCTGTGACTGTTGCGGAATCCTTGTCCGTGCACCTACCTAGAGCTCTGGTTGTTAGTGTCCGGGCCTTGCTCCAGCTCGAGGCGCAGCTTCTGGCTCTCCTCCACGAGTTCAGAATGGACGGCCTCGCAGGCGGGCTGGGAGGATTTTGGATGCGTCGTGAGGCCGATTGGTGACCGAGAAAGTCAACACCGAAAAGCAGAAACCGCTTAGGACTTGGGATTTGGAGCAGGATTATTGTTTTCCGGGTTGCCAAGAGTCGCACAGCAATATAGAAGCGGCGTCGCGTTGAGCACATTATTGGGCATCAGGCGAGGATGCTCCAAAATCGGCTGTTGAGTGTGCTTCCTTATTTTATTTGTCTATGTAGTGGATGCATATACCTATAAAACACACTTATACTCAGATTCGGTTTATCTACGAGTTAACTATTGGATACCTACTTAATACTCTGCTTGCTTCCATGTATCTACATGGAAACCGAATGCACATGCATGCATATTGCATTTACTCTGCATGCTGGTCATGTATGTACCCATATGTAACTGTAAAGACTAACATGTACAACAACAGGCCCAGCACGTTCATCGGCCTCGCAACTCGAAAATCTGCCAAACATCTGTGTGCCACGATCAACAAGCTAGTTGGCTTTAGCCTCTAAATCACCGGCTAGATCCTAGCCGGTTCTGGATGCGTTCATGGCGGGTTGTCCAAGCCAGGGTCCGTTGTGGCACACCTTCGAGTGACATTTCGATGCCGAACGAACCCCTGTCCTCAGGTCGGCCGGCCTCGAGGTTGGTGTGCTTCTGCTGCAGATCCTGTCCCCGGTCTCTGCGTCTTTGAGTCAGGGGTCGCGAGCTTCCGGCTCAAGGGCGCGGTGCTTCGGGTTTGCAAGCCAATACTAGAAAGCGTAACAAGTCGCTTCGAAGAAGAATGTCTGGCACATGTCCAGACCTCAACGCAGGGTTTGTTGTCTAGGATGCAGTATCCGCTATCCTGTTCTCAAGCTTTGAACCCTCTCGCATGGCAGTGACTCCTTACCTGAAGCTGGGCCCTCCGGTCATTGGCAGCATGTGCTGGACAAGCGATGGGAGGAAAGATTCCGTAGGGACGGGCTAGTTTAATGGCCCGGCTCCCCACTTTACGATATAATCTTGATGGTCCTACCATGGTTGACTCAAAGTTTGAGGGGCGGGGAACGGATCGGAACATCGTCGATGAATCCTTGCAGGCAGAGCGACAAAACAAGCAAACAAACAAACACGCAAACAAACAAAGGAACAAACAAACAGACATACAAACACATTAAACAAAAACAGCAATGGAAACGATAGCAGTCAATCGCCATAGCAATTGTATCCTCGTTGTGCTCATGGTATGTAGGTATTTAGGATTTTCCGTGCATGTACCTTTATGTTCAGGTACATACGAGCGTGTACATGCATATGCGCATGCATTTCCCGCACTTGCACTGCCTACAAAGCACTCCCATTTGCATTAGCAGAAAAATAGGTCTCGCCCAAGCAAAGTCTTGGTCGCACCTCGAGGCCCGCGGCTTGCGCACGAGACTCGGCCGTCCGATCGGCGAGCTGGATGGATGTATCTGCGAGCTCCTGCTATGACAGCCCTTGGGCCTGTACCCACGAAATGCATTCCCGTCCCGCCCTGTTTAGACAGCACCCCAACCCCTAACCATAAACCGGTGACTCTGAGGCTTGCCAAGAAAAGTGTCATGCTGACCATGCTGCTTTCAATGCTGCTGGCGTTTAACATGCAATCCAACTCTGAATTCGCCCTGCTGCAACATCTTAAAGATGTGGTCAGGGTATGCAAAAGACGGTGGCATCACACAGATAGCAATGAGAAACGAAGCCTGCTCCCATCTTCGCTGCCATCAGGCTTGGGTAAAATCAGCAACCCCGCCCCAACCAACCATCGCCCACAGCGTCCTGTGTACGCTCGTGCAGCTGTCCCGAAACTTGCGAAATCTCGGAAGCCTTTTGACAAAATGGGTTCGGGTTCAAGGCTGCACTTTAGCCAACCGGGCCAAGGTTGACTTCGACTCAAAGCGCACTGCTAGGACTTGGAAGCAATTGGCTTTCATCAAGCATCAACTTTTTTGAAGCGGGCTTGCAGGCTTTAGTCTCCCTGCTTTCAGCTCCCGGAGTCAAGGGCAGATACATATGTAAGTAGTGTAATACAATGCTCTGTTCTGCTCTGTATGTGTACATGATGTAACGTATTGTGACTTCATGTCGCGCGGTGTACTGCAAGGCAAGGCAAGGCAAGGCCATGCAGGTATGCATGTCCATACTTGCATGAAACATGTACATAAAAGCAGTATAAGCAGGTACATATAAGCTTATGCTCATGCATATATATATATAGATATAGATATAGATATAGATATAGATATAGATATAGATATAGATATAGATATAGATATAGATATAGATATGCGCATACATATAAAACATACTTTAACATACGCACATCCATAGATGAGGCCTGACACGAATCTCTGGATTATTTTTCTCGCCTCTCTCTTTTTCTTTCTATTGTTCTCTCTCGCTCGCCGGTTGTAGGGCAGTAGCAACAGCTATCTATCCAACTTTAAGGTCCGTGTCTCTTGCTCCATCTCCCGGCTGCGCTTCCATTCCACGCCTGGGCTTCCACCTGCCGCGCCAGCTCGTCGCCACGCGCCTCTAGGCGTCTCACCTGAGCTCAGCGCCGCTGACACGTTGAAACAGATGCAAAAGGGTTTGCGATCTGCAAATCAAAGCCTTTGCCGGAAACGTGTTGCATGGCCTCGTCTTGGAGCGTCGACAGTTCCGCATCCTTGACCGACAGCTCCTTTGCAGAGCCTTCGCGGCCTTCAATGGCGGAACTCACACGCACTTCAGGCAGGGCGGTCCCGGAATGTAGGACTTGAGACTCGCACTGGAAGCCGTGATGAAGAGCTGGAAGGACAGCGTTTGGATTCGTGGTGCGTGCATCTGTCGTCTCTAGACTCGTCAACATCACCAACCCGAAAAAACAATTAAATAGTGTTAACATACTCAATGTACGGCAACATAGTCATTTAGGAAAAACATCCAGCGATATCGGTGTATGTAGATGCATATACTCGCATATACATATGCACGTGATTGTATCCAGAACGACGAATGTCTTGGATGTCTAAGTAAGTCCTTGCAGAACGTGTGATAACACCTACGGACCTACTGTCACCCCAAAACCGATTCGATGCAGAAGCAAGCCTTCCTGCAGCTCCGTCCGCTGTCGCTGGCTCTCCTCTGCCAATCGGGCACGATCTGCCTTGCCACGAACTTCGGCTCACAGTCATAAACATCAGCAGCAGCACAAGCAGTGAGTAGAGGTAATAGAGGAAATAGGAGTTGCAGCCGATGCAAGAGGAGTAGTTGCAGTAGCGACGGAAGTGAAGCTGTCGCTGTCGTACGTAAAACGTGGTATTGCATCAGAAGTCGTAGTCGCGGTGCTGGAGGCACTGACGGCGGCGCTGGTGGCGGGGGCGGTGGTAGTGCTACTGTTAGTGACTGTTAGTTTGTGGTTATGGTAGTCGTCGTCGTCGTCGCAGTCATCGCTTAACCACCCGACTAAGACCGTGCCTGAAGCTTCGCCTTTTACATCCCATTGCTGAGCAATCTGGCGGGTGCGAGGCCCATGGGGTATGGAAAATGTAAGAATGCGCCTCGAACCACAGCTACTCTCGATGCACAATTCAGCCGGCGCATGTTGGGCATCTCAGAAAACTCGAGCCCTAAGGTCCTACGTTCATGCAGTACTTTGGCCTTTCTGTCAGTGAATTGAACCCTTTCATGCTTTCAGGCGTTCGGCCTCCAGCTCAGCGTTGCGTTGCCGAAGGTCCTGGCAGCATCGAAGAATCGAAAGGCTGCAGATTCATCACCGCAGGGTTTGATGCTTAGGGGCAAGCATGAAGCGTCCGCCACCGAAATGATATGGCTCGTTTGTTGGACTTTGTCGTCGTTACAATAGATCTCGTTCGGCTTGTCGCTTCATGGGATCATACCTGAATCCCAAATAGATTTTATCTGACTTTGGCTAGCAGTAGCAGTGCGTTTTGGCCTCAACTCTCTTGTTGGCGTTATAGCAGATCACAGAATCAGAAACTCCTTCTACACCAAGTGGCAGTCTCTGTCTTATGGAAGAATCGCAAGAGGGGAAACGTTATAAGGCTTCCGTGCGGAATCTTCCTCAGCGCTAAGCAACCAGCCAACTGACCAAGCACAAACCTGACTGACTAACTGCCTGCGGGACTGACTGACTGATTAATTGATTGGCTGACCAACTACTTCAAGAACTCACTCGCTGACTAACTCAGTAGCTAACTCACCAACCACGTCAAGAACCAACTAGTTGACGCGCACAAACACACAAACTACCCCTGCTTGACATACCGATGCTGTGACCATGACCCTGCCGAATGATACTTCGTACTCTTGCCTTTTTGAGCCCGTCGAAAGTCCGAGACCGCTTCAAGCTCTCAGGGGCTTTGAGTGTTGTCGTCCTCCATTTGAGCAGCATGGGCAGAGACCTCGACGGCTCGATCGGCAAGCTCCTGCATGGGCATGCTTCACCTTCAGGTAGGCCCTCGTCAACAACGCACGCGTCTTCAAGGGTCTTAGGTATAAGGATCCCTGTAATGACATATACTGACGGAGGTGGGCTAAGGTGAATGCAAGTCTACTTTATTCTACACTTCCTAAGGGCGTGGTTGGCCTTGGGTACAAGTGGTGCTACAGATGGAGAGGGGTTGCTTTAGGGCTTCGTGGATCAGGGCTCCTAGCTCCCAGTGCATGCGATCACCACAACTATGGACATCATGATCCGAAAATGCGAACACCACAACCATATATACATTCCCGCATGGCCTGCCGCACATGCCATGTATATACATATTACGCTATAACCTATATCTATACATGTATATGTATGTATACGTATGTATATGTACGCAAAGAGAGAGAGAGAGAGAGAGAGAGAGAGAGAGAGAGAGGGAGAGAGAGGGAGAGAGAGAGAGAGAGGGAGAGAGAGAGAGAGACAGAGCAGTGCAGTTACGTAAACAAGCACGACATGCAGAACCATGACAATGTAAGTATTCTTTGCCCAGCTAGAGTATATCCAGATGGGTACAATTATGTGAACACTCACATATAAGCGTATAAGCATAAATAAACAAATAAATAAATAAATAAGAAAATAAACATACACACATATAGCTATATATATAGATGCATACACATATATGATATAAAAACATAATAGACCCACATAATGTAACTTATACGCATGTAGGTACATGAGGTGTGGCATGTATGCGCACTCCTGTCGACGCATCTCCGTGGCTTCACTGAACTCGGCAGTCGTCCGCTCCAACTCAGGGGCTTGGCTTGAGGTGAAGGTACGAGGGTTTGGTTTAAAGTATAGACTATAGACAGGATAGACTGTGTATGGGGGCACCGATCCTGAAATGTTTGGCGTAAGGAATTGGAGGTAAGGGATTGGTTTTGGTTGCAAGACTCCGAGGTTGCTAGATTTTACGAATTCAAAATCTTGCGACGACTACAACAACAACTACTACTACTACTACCACCACGACTACTACGACTACAACGGCTACAACGGCTACCACGGCTACTACGACGACTACGACTACGACTGCGACTGCGACTACGACTACGACTACGACTACGACGACGACTACTACTACTTCTACTACTACTGCTGCTGCTGCTACTGCTGCTAGGCACTAATACGAGGACGACTACGAGGACGGCTATGACTGTGACTTTCGCTGCTGCTGCTACTGCTGCTGCTACCACTACCACCACTGCCACTACCCCAACTACCACTACCACTACTACTACCACCACCACCACCACCACCACCACTACTACTACAACTACTACTACTACTGCTACTACTGCTACTACTGCTACTACTGCTACCACTACCACTACCACTACCACTACCAC